GGAGAAAATATGTAGCCAGGTGGTACAGATCCTGCAGTAACACCTCTTGGCCCCACAGGTGATGAGGAAAGTTTGACGATCACTGCCCAAGGGAATCTAGTTTCTTTCATTTTGTATCCCAGGACCATTAAATATCAATTTCCATAATTTAAAACCTCATGAAATATTGCTCGTCTTATAACTTCCATAATATTGTGCCATATTCTAATCTCATAAATGCTCTCCCAAATACCCTTTCTTCCCAACTTTCTAGAATTACTTATTCTTCAAATGTAAGTTTCTCTTCTCATTACCCCTGTGACTATTATGCAGCTGTATGGTAGCACATCTGGTTTTCCGTGTTTTAAGAAAATGAGATGAAGAGGACAATCAGATTTATAGAAGAAGGTATTATGAATGAGTCATTCCCTCCACAATGGTGAGTTAGCACAGAATTTCCCAAACTATTCAATCTTTATCTAAAATGTAATCCAATTTTTCAAAATGTATATTTTCACAAATATCTAGAAACAACCTGCGTTCAAGCTTAATTCATACAAAACTTCCCTTGACAACCAAAGGACTTAGAGGTAAAATAATTTTCTGGGTCATTTAATCAATGAATTTGTTGTTGTGTCCAAGATCCCTGACCTCAAGCTGCTCTCAGTCTAGAGCGACACACAGACTCAACATACCACTACACTATAAAGCTAAGGGTTATAATAGAGGTAAAGAAAAATGCTGTAAGTAAGCAGAGGAAAGAATTATACACTTGACCTCAGGTCTTTGCTCTAATGTCTCTTCCTCTGGGAAGTCTTCCCCATAGCCCCAGCCAATGGGCCCTCCTGCCCCATCTCATTACTATCTCATTTACAGGACTTTAGCTGAAACCATCTTGTATTTGTGACTGTGTGTTCACTGTCTCTCCCAGTAGAAGGTGCACTCCTTGAGGGAGAGACTGTACCCCAGCATCTGGCACAATGCCTAGCACACAATACGCCCTTACTTAAGTGTTTGAGACCAACTGCCCTGAGATCTAGGAAGAGACATCACAGAAAGCCTATATTTGAAGCGGGTCTTAAAAATCTAGGAGTCTGGCAGATAAAGAAGGCTTTGCAGACTGAAGGTTCAACATTAAACTGTCGTGTCCAATCATCGCATATGTCTTTAATACATACTACTTTTGACCTCTGTGTGCAAATATCTTATAATTCACCGGTTTAAGTTTCTTTCCTCCTCACTATAAGAAGTTCCAAAAGCTTAGTTTCTATTATTGCTATTAAAAAATGTTTCAGGAGAAAAAAAAAAAGTATAATCTAGGTTCTTATGGAAATTCATTTTTACTTCAAAACCTCTCTCAGCAACTGTACATTGGTTTAAGACCTTCAAAGAGACTGACCTAACCGAACGGATGCAGTAAACTAGGTTTGGTACGGGAACTTCAGAAACTTCAGGAGCTTGATTTCTTTAGAATCTTATTTTTCTTCGATGTTCAAGTTTACTTAACGAAGGAAGGAAAGTGTCACTTATCAAAATAATCAAACTTCTCTCACATGCCAAAAATTTAATCAGCTTAGTGTTTACAAAGGGGCAAAAGACAGAAGTAACATAAAATGACATTTTATTTTGGAATGAGAGAGGCAGAGACAGGTAGCTGTTAATTTCTTTGACACTTCAGAGCCATACACCCCATTCCTTGCTTGGTAATGAGACATCTGCAGCCTCCTCCATTTTCTGGGAGAAAGGGTCTGGCTAGGGAAAGGCAGCCCAGGCCATCATATACACTCCATGAATAACCACTCAGGTAGGGAAAGGCCACCTGCTTTTAGAGTAGAGGGGACCTAACTTAGGTGATCTGCCAACTTCTCATTCTACAGAAAAGGACATGGAGGCCATAGAATGGAGGTGAAATTTTTCTCAAATCCACAGTCAGCAGAATCCAGGAATCCTGACTTGGGCAGGCATTGTTTCCACTATCCTTGGTTATATTTCTTCAGGATATCAAAGTTTTACAAATATAGCCAGAATGCTCAGGAGGAAAGAAGACTCATGGAATAGAACTAAGAGTAGGAAGTCTGACTCAGCCCTGAATAGGACAGCATAAGCACCAGTCATCTGGGCATCCTCAGCTGGCCATTAGAGACACTCTGAGCACAGCAGGCTCATGGCTTCAGACAGCTCAACTGGATTTTCCCAGTATTGATTGTTATGAGTCACAGTCCTCCTGCAAGAGGAGGTCCCCATCCAGTTTTAAAAAATAAACTGGATTATAGGAACGCACATCAATTCAGCGAGTTTAACCCAACAAAGGTGGGTAAATCGATAAATTGAAGGTGCCTGTTGAGAGAAGGTCAAGGGTAGAAAGAAAAAATCTGGTCCATGCAAATGTCTTTTGTCATCCGAGTCCAATGAGATTGGGGCTGGGAATGAATGTTTGTGCCCTGCTGTCATCACTTTCTGTTCTTCACTAAAGACATTTTAGAAAAAAAACAGTATCTCCATGAAACTACAAGTTTCATGGGATGGGAGACACAGAAGAGACAATAATTGAACATAAAGTTGTAAAATACTGTCTGGGAGAATCTTTATTAAGAATGATCAACTAAAATGAAATAAAGCAGTCAATTTTGACAACATGGGCAACACTATATACTTATTTTTACTGAAGCAAATAACTTCACAAATGGCCAGTTAGTTCTTCAACATGATAAATCTGAACTTTTGAGCACACGATTTTAACTAAAAATTAGAACTATTTACATTCTGGAATGATTGATAGTAAGCATTGGTGATTATTTTCTTAAAAAATACATTACTATAGAGTATTCCACTCGTTTTGTGGGACATTCAAGAATTAAACAAAGACCCATTGTCAGAAAGAATTCCATGACAGAAAAGAGCCCAATTCCTTCTTCTGAAGTAATTTTACTGTATGAAAAACTTCTTCAAACAAGTGATCAAGGCCAGAAAAACATTTTCTCTGTGTAAATATTTGTTATATTATTTACCATATTGTGGTATAATTTGGACTCTACATATAGTTAGTATTTTTCCCAAATCTCCAACCACCAAAAGTCAGTGAATGAATGATTTGAAGGAAATTTGTCAACCCTCCATGAGTAGTTGAAACTACAGTTTGAAAATTAGACTCAGTGGACCATACATCCCCTGGGCAGGAACGGTCTCAAGGTATAATGTGTTCTCATTAATGGATGTGCATAATGGTCATCTTAATGGCCTTTCCTATGATGATATTCCTCTTTGAAGTACATTAATTTTATGTAGCAAATACATTGTTAAAATTACTTCAGAAAAGGATATTAACACTGTTGACCTTTCAGAGACCACACCAAGGCACAGCATCCCAAGGGCAGGTGAGTAACAAGTGCTTAAGCAACAGGCATTGCTTTGATCTTTCCACAGTGGCTGCTAATCTGACCTTGGGTCAGTCAAAAAATTGGCTGCTCTGTTTTGAAATATCTAGGCAAATGTGGCTTTTAAGTATTTAACATGATTAAGAAAAGTGATAAGGCCCTTGGAACACCATATCTTCTTTTTATTTATACTCCTCCAGATATCTTTACCTCCTCCAAAACACACACAACTAACCAAAAAAATGTGTGAAGTCACACACACACAGACACAAACCGTAGAGACAACTTAATTTAGGCTGGGTCACCATCTTGCCAGGGCAGCGAAAACTTCGGATGACAATGACTAAATAGAGAAACTCAAGCACTTTCAGGACTCCTCAGTGTGACTACCTTATCAGAGGTGAACTGTAGATGACAGAACACATGTGACAGGCACTGTAAGCAAGGCACATTGCTTAAGTTTCCTCATCTGTAAAATGAAGATAATGATTTCAGAACATAAGATCATGTTAAGAAACAGAAAAAAAAACATTTGGCTTGATGCTCAGTTTCCACTCCCTGCCAAGCCAATATTGCTATGACTACGCGGAATGTGCCATTTGCATTAAGAAAGATGCAAGAGGGCTGACTGTACATAAACACGCAGTCAGCACACACTTGGGTTCTGCCTGATCCTTCTGGGTGCTGTTTAGAACAAGAAACAGGTTCTTAACTACTAGTAATGCTTTTTCTAACCGAACGGAAAGAAGAGAAAATACTGCAGGAATTCAAGGATGACCCAACATACAGCCAAGCAGTTACTTTGAGTAAGGTAGGGTTGACACACTGGGATTACTCATTACTCAACCCTAACTGCTGATTCCAATGGCCTCTATTATTCTAACTTCTCTCATTAGGGGAGAAGGCAAGAGAGATTGACCTTGGTTTACCTCATTTCCAACTAAATATGGAAAACCTTCAGCACAGTGATTGTCAACCACAGTTGCACATTAGAATCACCTGGAGAGCTTTTAAGACTACGAGCCACACCCCAAACCAATTTCATCAGACCATCTACAGGTGGGAGGGCCACGCACTCATATTTTTAAAAGAATCCGGTGCTCTAGGAGATGCAGCCAAGGTTGAGATTTGCAGACTAGGATCACCCCTCTTCACCTCACCTAACTTCCGCTGCAAGCCAGACTAGGAAAGCCAACCTAGAGCATTTCACGACCACAGCTTCTGAGTAGAGCAGGTACTACAGGATCCTGAACGCTGGAAGACCACGGGTGCCTGCACCTGGGTCCACACAAAGGGTTGAACAGAGCTTATGAACTAGAGCTCCTCATGGGAGAGCCATTATCTCAGTTTGCTCTTCAATAAAAATAAGTTCCACACTCTTCACAGGTGCCACCAACAGCTAAATTTGTCTCTGACCATTAGGATTTTTTTTTTCCTTTAAGAGACAAATCTCTTGGGAAGGAAGGTCAGAATATTTGTGGGCGTGCGCCCCCCCCACACACACAGCCTACAGAGAAGGAAGCATGCAGTTCCCGTGGCCGCCTGGAAAGCACCCCGCAGGCTCCCCACCGCGCAGGCCCGTGGCCACTGCACCTGCTGGCGCGCTCGGCCGCACCTGCCGCGCCGGGCCCTGCCCTCCCCTCCTACCTTCCAGCAGCTCGTCCAGGCTGGTGACCTTCCGGCTGCCGTCGATGGTATAGATGGTGCGGACGCCCTGGGGCAGATTCACGTTGTCCGACAGGGAGCGGGTGAGCTCTATGAGGAGCGCGTCGAAGGACCGGAAGCGGTCGCTGGAGATGGCAAACACCAGGCCCTTGAAGTAGCGGTCCCCGTTCCGGTAGAAGCGCGCCTTCTTGGCCTTCTTCTCCGAGCTGAGGGCCTGCAGGGTCCGCGTGCGGTAGAAGCTGCAGTGGGCACTGTGCGCCGGGCTGGGGATGAGCCCATTCCCCTTAGGGCCCGAGCTGCTGCTGCCCCCAGAGGAGCTGGGTGCCCCTCTCCGCGACCCCGACCGCGGCCTTTTGTCCCGTTCCTCAAAGTGCTCCAGCTCGATGCTCCTGGTGCTGGCCATCGCGGCTGCTCCGAGCGCTTCCCACAGAAAAGCGTTCCAGGCAGACTAGTGCCAGTGCGAGAACCCGTGCGGGGAGGTCTGACTGTGAGGGCCCTTAAAGCGCCGGGACACCTGGCTCTGGCATCCCGCCCTCTCCTTGCAGGTGGGGCCGATGAGCCGCGGAGGCGCCGGCCCGCCCGCGCCCGCAGCTAAAAGGGGCCGCGGCGGCGAGCTGCCCAGCGCATTGTCCGGCGCCGCTCGCTGCGAGCCTCCCGCCTGCCGGGGAGCCCCACGCCCCCCCAAGCGCCTCCTCCACCGGCCACGCCTCACAACTCCCGCTCGGGAGCTTGCCAGGAGACGCAAAGTTGGGCCGCCCGAGGCTTGCGCCGGGCCCGCGGGCGCACACAAAGCTGAGACGCCCCGCGCGGCTCGCGTCCGCCCAGCGTTCCCGGGAGCGCCGAGGGGAAGGAAGGAAGGAAGGAAGGAAGAAGAGGGGGAGGGGCGGGGAGCTTGGGAGAGGCGCCCCGGGCCCGTGGGGGCGTCGCGCCCCGCCCGCCCACGCGCCCGGTCCACGGCCCGCGCTGCAGCGAGCGCCGTTTCTGGCCGAGAGGGCCGTGCCGGGCCGCTTCCTCCCACAGAGCCCGGCCCTAGCGGGAAATAATGCGGCCCGCCTCCCACGCAGCCGGCCGGCCCAGCCCACCCGCGAGCATCGGCGCGCAGGCCCGACTCTGCCGCCCGGCCGGGGATCAGGGCTGGAGAGGGCTTCCTGCCCCCAGGGGATGCCAAAACCGCGGAGAGAGAGCGGTGGGAGGGGGAGGAGGGGGCCGGAGCGCTCGGCGCGGGGGCGATGCGGCGCGAGCGGGGCGGCGCCTCCTGGGTCCTAGGTAGCCCCGCCGCTGACAGCTCCTACCCGGCGCCGCGCGCTAATGGGCGCAGCCGCAGCGCGCTCCTCCGCCTGGGAAACGCAAGCGCGCAGGCCAGAAAAACTACAAAGGAAGGAGATTCAAGGGCAGGCGGCACATCCCTTAGCCGCCCTCCCAGGGAGGAACCGAGGCCAAACTAGCGCAGAAATCCAAAACACTGCATTAGGTTGGGGCACAGAATTTATTTTTGAAAAGCAGATTTGTTGCTTTATTGAAAAATCCTTTGAGAAAACAGCCTCCACAGTTTCCACTGCAGATTCGCTAATATGGTACGTTGAGTAACTGTCAATGGAATGAATGATCTTCTCATCATTGGCTTTTGAGGGATTTATTTAATCAACAAATGTTTATTGAGAGCATGCTATGTGCCCAGCATTGTTTCAGTTGCGGGTGATGCCCTAGCACAGGAAAAAGGAAATCTCTGCGCTCTCTCCCCAACGCCCTCACATTCAAGATTTAATGTTGCCAATCTGAGCTTCTTACGTAAGAGGTCTATCATTTGTAAGCACTCATCATACTGGAAACCTTAATTTGGTAGTGTCTGGTCAACAATCAAATCATGTTTTACAAAGGATTGTGAAAAATATTAGTTATTTCCATTTTGTCATCCAAGAAAGATGAAGTTCGGAAATGTTTGGGCCTAATCCGACAAGTGAAATGTTAGACTATTCAGCAACTGGTTCTCCGAATGGCCCTGGACAGCAATTCCAAACTGACCTTTAAGGTAGAAAGGCATAATTGCTTTTCTTGGAATGAACTGAGTCCTGGAAGAGCATAAATAAAAGAAGGAGGAAACACATGCAGCCCTCTTTAGCATCTGTGAAGTTGGTGCTACCTCCCAATCCCTCCATACCCAGCCCTCCCGGCTTCCTGCCCCGCCTTCCTCCCCAGTGCCACAGAGGTTTTCTGCTCCTCACACAATAGTTCACCCAGGGAAGTTTTGGGGACATACCTGGGCATACCTGACTTCTAGACCCAGGATTGGGGCACGCTGGGAAGTCAGAGCTGCTCTGCGGCTTCGGTGTAGTTTTTCCAGAGGAAAATCCTGCACTATGACTACATCCACTGCCATGAAAGGCCTCAACCCAGAACAATTAAATTAGAATTTCTAGGGATGGGCTTCTCCAACAGTATTTTTAAAAAAATACTCCTAATGTACAGCCAGGATTTCCAACCACAGGCTGTAACATTGAGAGTCAAATAGATCAATACTTCTTTTCAAACTTTAATATACTCACATGTCATGGGGGAATATTGTTAAAATGCAGATTCCATTTCACTAGTTCTGGGGTGGAGAATGAGATTCTGCATTTTTTTTCTTGTTAGACACGGTCTCACTCTGTTGTCCAGGCTAGAATCCAGTGGTGTTATCATAGCTCACTGCAACCTCAAACTCCTAGACTCAAGAGATCCTCTTGCCTCAACCTCCCGAGTAGCTGGGACTGCAGGCACATGCCACCACACCCAGCTAAGAGATTCTGCATTTCTATGAATAATAAGCACCCAGGTAACGCCAACGCTGCTCTTGGTATAACTCTTTGAGAAACAAGTGGCTAAATGGCAAATTTCTTGAAATAAGTCTCCATCTAAGTAGTAGCAACTCCAGAGCCTGTCAACTTTATAAGTTGCTTAAGATGTGTGTGTTCATCTGAATTGCTATTAGTATTTCTTGAGGGTGGGGGGAGATTTTGTCATCTATTGCTGTAGTAACAAAATATCCCAAACTGCAGATTAGGAATCTAGGAACAGTTTTCCTCAAGGTCTCACGTGACTGTAGTCAAGATGTCGACCGGGGTTACCTTCATCTGAAGGCTTGACTGGGGCTGGTAAAACCACTTCCAAGATGACTCACTCACATAGATATTCTTGGAGGCCTCAATTCCCTGTCATGAGCAACCTTCCATAGGGTTGCTTGCGTGTCATTATGACCTGTCAGCTGGCTTCCTCTGGAGCAAGCATCCAAGAGAAAACAAGGTGGAAACCACAATGTCTTTATTGATATACACTTAGAAATCATTTATTGTCATTCCCACAATATCCTGTAGGTTACACAAGTCAGCCCCGTTCAGTGTGGGAGGACGCTACATAAGGGCGTGACTACCAGGAGGCAGGGATCACTGGGATCATCTTGCAGGCTGGTACCACAGGCTTCAAATCTTTCAATATTTAGGACACTGACATATACGCATTTTCTCACTCAAAGATCCTGTGTAAAAGCTTTGGGCCTTCTTAAGAAGTAGATACAATTATATAATATTGTTTTTTAACATTATTCCCTAACATTATATCCCTAAGGTAAACAAAGGTTACTGCCTTTGGGGAAGGGGGTTGAGGAAGAAGGGAAAGCATTTCCAAAGTTGTTACTTAGTTAAAAAGAATATTTTTGAGGCCAGGTATGGTGGTTCACACCTGTAAGCCACACCTGCTAGCATATTGGGAGGCCAAGGTGGGAGGATCACTTGAGGCCAAGGGTCCAAGACCAGCCTGAGCAACATAGTGAGACCCTCTTTCTATGAAACACGGAAAAATTAGCTGGGTGTGGTGGTGCATACTTGTAGTCCCAACTACTCAGGAGGCTGAGGCAGGAGAATTGCTTGAGCGCAGGAGTTTGAGGTTACAGTGAGCAATGATGATACCATTTTACTCCACCTGGGCAACAGAGTGAGACCCTGTCTCCAAAAAACAAACAAACAAAAAAAAGGAATATTTCTGATCCTATTCTTTGCATTTGTTTGAAGAATCTTATTTGTGACCCTCATATAACAATTAAGATGCAATCACTTTTCATAAGATCTTTATTGATGAACATGAAATATATCAAGACCCAATTGGTCAAAATTTGAAGATTTATTAAGGTGGAAAAAAACTAGCTTCAGCATTCTAATTCTAATGCAAACAAAATTTGAGGGTTCTAGGTAGGCAACTATTAAGTAATTTGGGTTACTTCATGATCGAAAATTTATAGAACCAAAAAAGATTCTCCCCTTTCATGCAATTGCAGAATTTTCAGTGTAAGATGTTTCAACTGGCATTTCCTTTGTCGAGCTACCCTTTTTTTTCTAACCAAGAAACACATCTGATTGCTGATCATTCGTCCTCCAAGAGACGGTCTAATTCTTGGTAGTGATTGCAAGGTCCACCAACTCTGTCTGCCAGGACCTAATTTAAAGGGGCTTCATTAGGAGGAACTGGCCACAGATGCCTCCTAACTATCTGGAAGCTCGCCTTGACCTTAGCTGGCTCTTGGTTGTGAATTCTCTATACCCTTTCCCAACCTCCCTTAAATTTACACTCATTTGAATGAAAATTTGTGCAGAGTACTTTAAAAATGGCTTTTTTTTTTTTTTTTTGCTACAGACAATTCAAGAATTTCAATCTACCAGGAGTTAGAAATCAGCCTTAGCAAGAGGGAGACCCCACCTCTACAAAAAATAGAAAAATTAGCTGGGCATAGTGGCCTGCACCTGTAGTCCCAGTTACTTGGGAGGATGAGGCAGGAGAATTGCTTGAGCCCAGGAGTTTGAGGTTGCAGGGAGGCTATGGCCACTGCACTGCACACTCTAGCTGGGGAGACAGAAGGAGACTGTCTCTGTCTCAAAAAAAAAAAAAAAAAGAATTTCAATACAAAAACTCTTCTTCCTTCTCCCTTTTTCGTGTGATTAGAAATGATCCCTTTCTGTTCTTGATATATAAGAATTTTATTCTTTTTATTTATTTATTCTATTTTATTTTTTTGAGACAGAGTCTTGCTCTGTTGCCCAGTTATAGTGCCGTGGGGTCAGCCTACCTCACAGCAACCTCAAACTCCCAGGCTCAAGAGATCCTCCTGCCTCAGTCTCCTGAGTAGCTGGGACTACAGGTGCACACCATCATGCCCGGCTAATGGTTAATTTTTTTCTATTTTTAGTCGTGGTCTCACTCTTATTCAGGCTGGTCTCGAACTCCTGACCTCAAGAGATCCTCTCGCCTCAGCCTCCCGGAGTGCTAGGATTACAGGCATGAGCCACCGTGCCCAGCCAATAATTTTAAATCGTGGAATATTTACTGGACATGAAATTTTTGTTGGCAATATGAAAGAGGAAGGGTCCTCTAAAAAACATTTGGGGCAGAAAAACTCAACCAGGCAGGAAGGAAAAGTGATTGTTCTCTTTGTTCTCTGCACTTCTCTTTGTATTGCACAGGTTAGCAATACAATGTTAGAGTTGCCTTTAACTAAGTGGTAACTCCTTCCTCTGTTGACCTCCACAGCTGCCCCCCATTCTACCTTGACTAACAAATACCATGCAAATTCTTGTTTAGCATAATTTGTTTAAATGAGACTTCATTAAATATTTCAGTAAGGGTCTTTACATAAGAAACTTGCCTTGAATATTCCCTGGTTTTGCTCATGCTACTTTATTTCTGAAATGCCTTGGCTAGTCTTCATTTTTGGCGAGAAACTTCTGCTTTAAAAGGCAGTTTTCCAGCTACTCCATTACTTACTATATAAAGGATGCCCGCGAACCTTTTAGCCTGTGCTATGCTGAGACTTTCTGCTGTCTCATGGTTTCACTCCTGTTCACTGCGTGCCAAGCATTTCTCCCAGATGTAAAAATGATGAAACAACTATTTTCATTGAAAGCACCTGGTGATTAAAGACTTGAATTTTTGAAACTAAGCATGATTTTTATTCCGTAATCTTTAATGATTATAAATTCTAGTGCTTTCTGTTAATCTTTAATGGGTAAGTGTATAAAGTAAGGTAGTTCAGAAAGAGATTCTCCATCCCTAGCCCATTATCTGTACCCAGACTGGAAAAAAGGCTCAAACTGTTTTCTCATTAGTTGTTTCCCCTTGAGAGCTTCGCTGTCTTTTTCACCCTTGATTCTTAC